TATATATATATATATATATATATATATATATATATATATATAAAATTCAGAATACATATTATATATTTCAAGATATCCGTTGGCAAAATACGTTGCCATACTGTAGAACTGTCCCTTTTCCAGTTAACCATATGGCGGCGAACAGCTAGTCAGGTCAACGAAGGGTTTCCCCTTCTTCTAATACCAGGTGTATCAGTTGAATGTTTTCTGAGAACAAAAGATCCACGAACAAAGCATTCATTTTAGAACCTTCTTTTTTTATTCGAACTAATTAGCTTTGTTTCTTCTTTGTTGAATATTAAAATTACGATTCAATATTAAATAAAATATAAAAATTTTTTTGTATTAAAAGAATCTCAAAGAAATTTATATAATATGAGTGCAATACATATTTCTTTTCTAAAATATGCAAAATATTTTTTTTAAATCTTTTGTGATTTACCGAATTTTAAAATTTTGTATGACATATATAATTATATATGTGTATAATGATACATATATATGTGAAATGAGTATTTTGTAATAGATATTTTACAGAACATAGTTCGTTTTTAATCACCAGATTATAAAAATATAAAAATAAAATAAAGGTTTCGAATTATTTTTATATGGAAATAAAAATATTAAAAAATTTATTAAGTTAATAAAACATGTGATGAAAGAAATAAAAAAATTCTATTCAATTATAATACAGTAATTCTTATTCAATTTAATAAGAAATGAATAATAAAAGAGAAGAATTTATTGGATAATTAGATATTATAAAAAGATCAGAAAATCGAAGAATTTTATTTCTTAGATTGTTAGATATGTATAAATATATTTTTAGAATATTATATAATATTAATAATATAAACTATTATTTTATATATTTAAAAAAAAATTTCATGAATATTCATTTAATTGAATTTAAAAAAAAATATATAATAGAAATATGATAATAGAATTTAATTATATTTTTTTTTCGCAAAAATAAAATAATGATCATTTTTTATTTTTTGAAGATAATAATTTAAAAATTGAAGCATTATTATATAATTATTAAATTTAATTTTATAGACATAATATTATAAATAATTATAATACGAAATATATAATATCATTATCCGCTGATTCTATTGAAGTTATATTCAGTAATATATAAATATATTTTATTATAAAATTTATAATTCGTACAAGATTGAT